ATACTGGATACGCTTATGCTGCTTACCTAACCATTAAGAAACGAAAAATGTTTATTGTTCTTATGTTCCTAAATAATAGAAATAATCATCCAGTGATCTTATTTCACTACTTGGATGTTTATCCAGCAAAAGTGTTTGACATTGTCTAATTTCTGGGTTAAGCACAAGTTCAACTGTAAACCAAACTTTGCTATGAACTTGTTATCAACTTAAATATAAATCATTTCTGATATGAGATTCTGACATGAAAAGAATAAGCTAAAAATTAGGATTTTCAAATATTTTCTTACGAAAATGTCCAAATTTTAGTTTAAGTAAATTCTAATGTTCTTCAATTGCCGGTTTGTATTAATTATCCAAAATCCAAGTTTGAGGTCAGAGGTTCTGACATGTATTTTTTCGTGTTACTACAGTCATTTCAAAATAATCAAATTATAAAGGCTTGATGAAATAACAAGCCCACTAGAGATAGCATTTGAGTAAATGCGTCTAACCCATCGAAGTTCCATAGTAAGTTAAACCAAGTGATGGCATGAAAAGAAAGTAGGGCAATGTTACTGAACTATCATAGCAGAGTAAAATGGGTATTTTTCAAACTTTCTTGCTTGGTTTAAACAAGATGTTAGTGTTATTCACTCGAGAATAGTTTCGTTTTCTTTCTCAGTGTACTTTGTTAGGATAATCGTTACTACTACCATACAATGTTCACTAAATGGAGATGAGAATCACTTAAAAATATGTTTCAAACCATTTCAGTCAATGAAACCAGTTTTAAAATAGTTAGTCACTTGATAAATTTAGATAACGCAGATAAAATATGACGTTGTTGATGCCTTAGTCACATGAAAACTTAAACCCTCTCTCAATATTTCAAAAAAATCATGATTATACTAAACATACCCTGGTAATATAGGTATCAATCCCAAGGTTGAATAGTTTCAAATAAATTGGGCAAAAACTTAATGATAAATATATTTTTCGTTATAACCCAATGAGCGGAAAAATCGTATTTCTTAAGTTTCGTGACTCAATATAAACCACTTCTTCAGGGTGAATAAATAACAGACTCAAATTAACACAAATCTAAATGGTATTATTCATTTGCTTTGAATAAGTGGCTCACATTAAGTCATGGAACGTCAGAAATACAATCTTCCCGTTAATATTTAGGACTGCAATTGATCCGTCTCTTATTACAATCCTAAACATCAGTGGAAAGATTTAAACAACCTCATTGCACAAGCTAGTGGCTATCTGCACTCAATAGCTGAGTGGCGTTTGAAGCGATCGATACTGTGTTCGAGACACGGAGTAAACATCAACTCTGGGATGCAGGTACATCCAGCCGACAAGTCCCAAATAGAACAAAACGCACGTCCTGGATTCCACTGCTAGCCATCATCCATCTCTGCTTATACTACCTTCCAGTTTGTCTAGTTTGACTTTTATTTCTCATATTTATTAGTGCCTTAAGGAGTAGATTGATGTGCATCACTGAAAAATCCCACAGTAGGACGAGACGACTCTGTAGTGCTCTCAAGTTTTCAATGGTGGTCTAGCCGAGATCAGTCCGTGATTTAAATGATGAAAGTAATCAGTTATTAAATTCTACTATAGAAATGCTCATTACACGATCCATACCAAGTTACAGGAATGATTAATTTGACATAGAGATGTTACATGTAAACCACAGAGAAATAATTTTAAATTGCTTTAGTGGATGTGGCTTATAAATTATTTTAAAAGGACATGTATTCCATGGATTATTTGAGGCAGAAGTTATTCTAAGGGGTTGAGATATTCTGTTGAAGTATGAATAATGTATCGCGGTCATTCCAGTGTTATTACAAAGTAATCGGAATTACTTACAGCTAAAGGAAGAATGGAAACAGAAAGCACAGAATAATCAAAGCAAAGCTTACTGTGATAGGTTTGCCATTATGTATATGCTAGGTTGTTTTATGATCTACTAATTTAGATCCTTATTAGTCAAACTAAAGAATCAGGGCGAGTGTATGTGCAAAATGTATGCACGAAGTTGGGTTTAGTAAGTATACTCAATTTAGAAAAAGATCAAACAAATAGTGTCGATATGATTTCACTAGTGTAATGGGGTATATTCACGGACGTGAGTATTTTAAAACACTTTTAGGGGTGAGGTAACCATCAACGTACCGAACAAATTATGTTTGCGATTTTATTTGACGGATAGGCTGCGGTAAACTAATCAAGAATTTCGAAAATCTACTTGCACAGTAAATCCGTAAGAGAGAAAATTCACTATGTGAAATTTTTATTCTCGATATAGAGTTATGAATGTTAAAACCAAGGGTTTCTGTATACTGAACTGCACCGGTGCACAAAACCATTTATTTTTTATTTTGAAGAAAAAGATCAAACTTAGTTCCAGTCTTTACTTCCACAAAGAGTCGAGTCCAAGCTTCTCGCATGCGAGTTGTAAATCGCCACCAGACGAATATCAACCTAGGTTTATCCTTTGCAGGAGCATTATTCAGAATAAAGTTGCATCAATAAATGAAATTTTGTTAGCTGCTAATAGATTTCAACTTTTGTCTTGTAACGAAAGCTAACATTCCTATCGTCTAATTATTCTTAATTTAATAAGTTGGCTTACACATTGTCCATTCATTGTTCACCAATACTCGGCACACCCAAAAAATGGAACAAACAGTTGTTCCTACTGTGCACTTCAATACAGAAGGTTGGCTAAGATAATTTTTTACGATGTTGATAGCAAGTTCCCAGTAGATAACTGTTGATATTTTGTAAACAGTCAGTAAAAACACAATATTTGTTCATATAGAGCAGTGTATTAATTACGAGATATTGAGATAACTAGTGTGAAATGGGATAGATGGGAAGCATGTATAAGTGGTGTCAGTGCTTGAACGCGTAACATCAGCTAGTTTGTGTTCCCAAAAAGTTAATGAAGTAGGCACCTAATGTCTGACACTAAAATGTTTATGATAGACCTTTCTTTGAAACTACAGTGTTAACGATCAGAAGTTACTAAAGTAATTAGTTGTCTATTCACTGTCTAACATCTTTACAAAGCTCATATATAGTTTGAAATAACTTCTGTACACTTTTATTTATAAAATATCCAACGAATCTAAATAATGTTTATCTGTACGATAGACAAACATTGGTTGGTCGTCTAATAGAGTAATCAGTGTGAATAATTAGTTCTTATTCATGAGTAATATCTAAAAAATACCGTTACTAGATAGTTAATTGTTTTATATTATAGTACACTGTAATGAAGGATGAATGATCCGAATTTCGTAGATTCTGTTCTATGAAGAATCAAGTTAAATGTGTATGATGTAGAGGACTTCTGTAAATTAATGTTCATAAGTTGTTCATGATATCCTGAGACAGCTTGGTATCTCAGTGTTTTCTGATCATCAAATACCTGAGAGTGGTAGTGATGGAGATAATGGCTATCTTTGAAAAAAAGATTTCTTTGAAAATGGATAAAAATTCAACTGGATGATCTTTAGTTTTACGAAATAATACTATTAGCAAATATGAAGTGATACAAGTTTTCGTGATATTAGAGGAGTATCTTTAATTCTTAGCTGTATGAGAAATTAGTGTCTCCATACAAAGTTTCTTGTGCGTTCTATTCAACCACCAAGTAACCTACTTGCCTACTTAGACCTGTCACCGCACCTGCAGCAAAGTCCACAGATCAGAGATATTCAAACAACTCTGTTTTGAGTTCACCTTTCCAGTTGTTGCCAGGTTTTATTCATGGTCGTGATATCTGTCTCCAGTTCTCGTAGCTATGTTTTTTTTTATTTACCTCTTTCCATTTTGCCTTGAAGTTTTTTAGTTGTGGCTTGCCTTGCTATAAAGTTTCAAATCATCAAGTAAGCCAACACGGAAAATAAATCATTTAAGGCCAGAATTTTATCCATCGGTTTTAAATTTATTCACTGATACAATGATTACTTCGTATCCTAAATGAGCACATTATTTTGAGCATCATAATACCACTTATATCATATTTCATTTTAAACATAGCGAAATGTTTTCAGGTTCTGGGCTTGATCCCTGATGGGCTCGTTGGTGGGCACTCCAAAGAAGTTCTACATTACAACAAAACTGATATCCAGTTCATTCTGGTTTTTCAGTGATTGTTCACCTAGATTTAGTCCGTGATATGTGACAATCATCAGAATGTGAACCTGGGTGAACAGGCTCGAGTCAGACAAGGAGCACCAGTACCCTCAAGACTCCAGGCAAACCTTGTTGACTAACGAGTTCCGCCTATCACGAAACCTATACAGATCAGGGTATTCTGTCTACTACATCTAGCCTGTTAACATTTCAACATAGTTCGCATCTTGATTGACAGAACTTGATCATCACTGAACGACTAGACAAACATGACAATGGTCACTGCTCAGTAACTGATCAACTATATTGAACAATCTCTACAAGTTCCATACGTCGGTTTGAGTTTCCTATTTATTTAGTTTAACACAAACCATATGTCAATAATCTTTATTAGGGATTAACGTATCATTTAAACAACTAAATTTTGGACAGTATTGATCTTCCTATCTATTTCAAATTATTTAGTAGATATATGAAGAAAATACTATGGTACCAAGCAATATATTCTATTGGTAAATATAATATAATCAGAGCTTGATGTGATGAAGTAGCGCATATATTTTACCATGAAATTTATTGTAATTATGCAAAGTTGCAATGTTCTTTACCTTTCCATAAGTTTACTGATAGTAGTAGGGGGAGGAAATATTTTGCCAAGATACCAAAACCATACCTAAATCTCTTATGGTTTATCATGTTTAATCGAAGGCCAACTAACTCCCACGCAAATGATAAAAGTTATTCAATTTAAAATTGTTAATCATTAAATTACCCAATCAGTATCTAGAACTTGTAATTTGATCTGAGATTGGATAAAACTTCAAGGTCAGACTATTGCCTTGATCTTAGACTTCATTGCTAATTTTCCCCAATCCGATCATTTGTTTTGTTGGGTTTGTACTCTAGTCCAAGTATTCTAGTTACTGTTTATTTAAATATATACGCAAATGTACTTATAACAATGATTATTGATTTTGTCATGAAGGTCTAACGGATAATAATAAAAATAATTGAGTTATTCTTTGAAATTTCCCAAATTCTTTGAACATCAATCTATATGAATGCAATCAATAATTACTATATACAATTTGTAGACATTTTCTAATGTCTGATATACAATGACAGGAATGTTTATTTTATTATAAGCTAATTGAATTACGTATTAAATACACGAGATAAAAAATGAATACACGTCCGAATGGAAGACGTAATTCAGTCCTATTAAGATTGGATAGTGGATCAAAGGTACGTTTGTTTTTACGAGTAAATATGTTTCAGTACTGATATTTGTAATGGATATGTTGTCTAAATTCTCCCTGAGATCATGCTCTACATGGATCTATAGTTATAGGGAATTACATGAATTCCTAATTCTACTACATGCAGCACATGAGTAATGGTTGAGTATGCCTGTCTGTTTTTATCATGCACTATTGCTTTGTCGTCACTTCAGAACTTTCATGTTTCGATTTCAGTAAAACACACATTTTTTTCGTCATGTGGTTAATATTTTGGTAAATAAAGAAAATCTCTATTATCATAACAATCCTATTGTCTTTTAATCGAAATCAGAGCATTTATTAATAGTGTAACCAAGTGTATGTTTTACGTACTCAAATTTTGGGTTCATCTTGTGCTAGAATTAATGATACAACTCAGTTGTCTGAGCTAATGTTAATTTTTGTCCGGGGGTTCAAACCTATGGCCTAATAAACGAAGATCTATCAGTTTAACCATCAGCCAACCACTTTAATGGATAGATATAGTGAATGTTTACTCGTTTTTATATCATAACTAACTCTCACTTTTATATTGAACTGTCAGTAATCGATTATTACATTATAGGAATTTTTGTTAAGTTTCTAATTAATAGGCGAGGTTTAAGTCTTGGAAATCTTGGAAAAGAAATTGTATTTGTGAGATATCCAACTATTAAAATCAATAATTGAACATGAATGGACAAAGTGTTTAGTACAAAATTAATTTTTGGCCCTTAGTAATTTTGTTTATGATTATTTCTCTGAAGAACCTAATGGTAGATTATTGAACTGAATATAAGAACTATTTAATTTTAATCGATCAAATTTTCGGGAAGAAAAAATTGTTTTCTCAATAGTGACCATTATTAGTTGCTTCAAGGCTTTTCATGGGATAAACAAATAACTTAAATAGATTTTGGGGGATGAGATGTGTTAAAGAAATTGAAATAAATTTTCAGCGCATGATTACAAAATGATAAAAATCAAATAGATATGTCAGTTTTAAACATTTTTATTGACTTAACAAAGTTAGTATTTAATATAATGTAAATTGGACAACAGGACGAAATGACCATCCAGCGCTTCCAGGTTTTCCATGATGCTTACTTACTTACGCCTGTTGCTTCTCGTGAAAGCGCATAGGCCGCTCATCAGCATTCTCCATCCAACCCTGTCCTGAGCAATCTTTTCCAGCTCTTTCCAGTTCTTATTCATCCCTTTCATATCCGCTTCTATTTCCCGACGTAATGTGTTCTTTGGCCTTCCTCTTTTTCGCTTCCCCTCAGGATTCCAAGTTAGGGCTTGCCTCGTGATGCAGTTTAATGATTTGCGTAGTGTATGTCCTATCCATTTCCATCGTCTTTTCCTAATTTCCTCTTCAGCTGGGAGCTGGTTTGTTCCGCCTATAGCTCTTCCAGAGTTACTGCCGGTCCCGAGCCCGGGTAAAGGAGGAAGGATCATGTAAATAGTTGGCAATGTTTGAAACTTCATTTAGTAATCAAATTCTTAGACATTTAAATTTATCTTTTATTTACTACTTTGACATGCATTACTTATTTACATCAAATATCACGTGAAATGTACGTGGATCATTATCATTGTGTTTTTAATTGATGACGTTATTGAAAGTGATTTATTATTTAGACTAAACAACTAATTATCTAACTAAATACAACTCAGGAAAAAACATTTGTTTATTAAATTAAACGATTTTTTTTTGTTGTCGAGATGTTTTTTTCATTTGGCTGTAATTTTCACATTATAAACAATTGGCTAGCATCAACTGGGAATACATCTGTAGTGTGTACTTCGGAACAATTTCAGACATGAACCAAATAAATTACTCAGTTCATTGCGATTTGCAATTCATGGTGTAAATTGAAGGCAAAATATTAAAATGTGAAATTTATTTCCGAATTTATTCATTTTACAAACTGCATTAGCATGAGCTGATATAGTTATACATATTCAATAGCTGATTTATTTTCTATAATAAGAAACTAAGGAAAAAAAGCAGGTTCATTTGTCAGGCTAAATATCTTTAGTATGGGAGATTTGTAAAGACTGTAGAATTTTAACGGGTGAAATCATGAACTGATCTTAGCTGGATCGCCATTGAAGACATGGAAGCATCAGACGGCCGTTTCATCCTAGCGCAGGACTCCTCAGTAGTGCCCATCCACCATCCTGCGTGCGAATCTAACCTCGGACCCTTGGTGTTGGGCGCGAACACTTAACCTCTAGACCAATAAGTCGGTATCAAATAGTATTAATATCTAACTTTAATCAGTCGTTATCTTGCACAACTATTTGTCCACTGCCTGTAGTGGATAACTGTCTCACCCGACATGGATTGAACTTCCCTGGTCATGGCTTCTTACCAGGACTCTGCGAATTATGTCTTGTTGGAAATTAAATATGAACACCGTTGAATGGCAGGCTCAGTAGTCTAGGAGTTAGGCGTTCGCACACGAGACTGAATGTCCTGAGTTCGAGTATAGGTCGTGTATGCTCATTCCTGAGATGTCTCATTTCAGGACGAAAAGGCCGTCTAGTGCTTTGTTTTCAACAATGGTCTAGCTAAGATCAGCTCGTGATCTCAACTGTGTTCAATGTTTTTATCGATTGTAGTGACTGAGACATTTGCTACGCATATGTAACCATAACCTACCACAAGATGCAGTGTTGGCTGATGATTATGTCATATGTCATTAACTGTTTTCTAGCCATGTCGATATGTGCAAATTTATTGATTGGGACCCATGTAATACTCAATCGTAGGCTTAAAATATCGAGTGACGTGGTACGTTATTGATCACAGTGACGCAAATGTCAAACATTCTAGCCTGGAATTGAGTGTCATAACTGTTTTTTTCGTTCTTTCTTTAGGACTGTATTCTTCATGTTTAAATTCTCGTTGTTACCAATGTTTTCCATCTTATGCTTCTCATCATATTAAATTCTTGTTTATCTGATCTGAATTGTGATAACTTGAACTAATGCTCATGCATATCGGTTCCTTCGCTGACGACTGATTAATGGATTGATGCTATTCAATTTTAAAGTGTAAATACATATGGGAGTAGAATTTGGATCCAAGTAACAAGATTCATCTTATCACGTCATCGAAATTATTTAACCTCATGCTCTAGATAACTATTCTCTTTTTCCTCATCAATTTTCATTTGGTCTTAATAATTTTATAGGTCAATTCCGAATGACAATCAACTTAAAACATTTATAGTTCACGTGATATATTTGGATTTAACTACATCAATAATGAAAATACAAAAGAATGAAAACCCTATCAATAAAGAGTCAATAGTCAGTCAAACTTGTTATTTATAGTTTCAAGAAACTTCCATAGTGATCTGTTTTAAGTAATTACAGTAAAATAGATAAACGATAGTTAAAGAGGTGTTGACCAAAGAAATCAAATTTTTAAACTATATGCTCATTCGTATGTTATACCTTCTATGCTTTGAAGGTTCTCAAATGATATTTAGTCGACTTGTTTTTGTGTGAATCACAACATCGGATTTTATTAGTTGATATTTTGATATATAACTAGCAGTCAAATCCAAAACGCATGTTTCATTCTGCTTAAGATTTGTTAGCTGGTTGTACTTGGATCTATGTGTTGGTGTCCCTACCGGGACTCGAACCCAGTACCTGTCGTTTCAAGTGCTCAAACTGTTATACACAGAAATCGCCTATTTATTTGTCTATGATTCTTAGAAATTTCATCATTTTATGTTAGATCGTTGATAGCAATCATTAGAAAGCCCACGCTCTTAGTTGTATGAAAGTTGCAGATTTTCAGCAAGGTATACTTGTATCTCAAGTCAAAGGATCCACTATCGAGCTATTCTAGTAGTTATTCATTTCTTGTAGGACTGAAATATTTACACTGATTGACCACTAGTTAGTAAATAATGTGGTTTCAATTTATCATTCTTGATCATTTTATAACCAATTATTATACACTTTCTCGTAGTAATTTCATAATTTGACTTCAGTTCTTTTTTGCCTTAAAAAATGATAATGTATCGGATCCACTGTTGTTTAATATAAATCAAAACTCATATTAAACATACTAAACAGACGAACACATACTGGGATCAACACAGGACACCAGATTCTTTAGTAATCAATAGATATTTATAATAACTACAAAGTGTTTCATGTTATTTCCTAATTTATGATGTCACCTAATATTTATGCACTAGTGTACGTATATGTTGTAAAAATGAATGCTTCGATCACTTATCTTCATTCTTTTATCAAATGGAAAAATGATAATCAATTGGATTGGTTGAAGTAAACATTAACTCCGTTGGATGCCGGCTCAGTGGTCTATAGCTTAAGCGTTCGCGTGTTGGGCTGAAGGTCCTGATTTCCAGTCCCACGTTTGGGATCGTGGATACGCACTGCTGAAGAGTCCCATACTAGGACAAAACGGCCTTCCGCTGCTTCCACTTTTTCAGTGGTGGCATAACATTGATCCGTTCATGATATCAATCTAAACTCATTAATCTCGACAACCCTATACGGAAAAATTATGAAATATGATTTATCCTTATCTAACTAATTCTACCATAATATTCATTCAAGTACAACTGCTTTATCATGTAATATGATATGAGTTTAGTTCATATCTTATTTCGTAAGTTATGAGATGCATATATATATATATATATATATATATATATATATACATATAAGATGTACTATTAGCTGTTGTTCTTATAAATTATAGTTTAACTAAAAGTTATGATTTAATGATTTGACCTCGATTTTCTAATATTTTGATTGTCTCAAATAATATTTGTACTTTAATTATAATGGTTGGATTTCCAATTGATTGTTGATACTGTTAGTACTTATACTACTACTCTGTCATTTCACTGTGCTAATGTGGTGTGGCAACGTGAAACAATGCACCTATGTGCCACGTTCTACGTTTGATACGACTGGTTGACTGAT